CCTCCCAAAGTACTGGGATTACAGGCATAAGCCACCGGGCCTGAACTTGCATGTTGATTTCTAATATAAACATGAGATTTTTTTAAGATCTTGGAGAAGAACCACATGTAAATTGAAAACTAAGGCCTTTCACTACACATTCAGTAAAGGAAGTGGACATAAACTAACAACTTTGGCATATCTGTCATGTAGTCATTTGCAGCTACATGAAAAAGATTTAGGTGCTTTGGTGGGAAAGAATGTTGAATTACAGAAATTCTAAAATAAAAGTTGGCTCATCTTAAAGAGAAAAGAAAATGCTTCTTAATGCCTGGTTGCACTAAAAGCTGTCATACTGTGGCCTTTAATAATTCTAAACATTATTAGTGGATTTTGGTTTGAACTTTAAATTCAATAGGAAAAATAAACGCACAGATAAAAGACCCAGAACATTTCAGACCTTCAGTGTGTGAACTCGTTTTCTCTACTTATTTAGAGTTTTGTTTCACTAGTGGTATGAGTTAATAGAAGTGCTTGTTTATATATAATTTAACTTCCCTTCATTCCATGACTTCTTGGTTTTAAAATTGATTCAAAACCAGAAACCTGCAGGCTATAAATCTTGCTTGATGTGTGTGTGTGCAACGCACCCACTTGATAATAATTGATTATATATCCCACTCAAAAAAAGTACCATTTTTACTGTTTCGGGGGAAGTTATTTTACCCTGGTACTTTATTGTTAAAAACAACAACAAAGCACTTCTCTAAATACACACAGTCAAAATTTTAACTTTCTTTTAATAGAGGTGCATATATTTTTAGAAATAAAAGAGATACCCAGAAGATAAGGTGGGTATTCTGAAACACAAGGTGAACCATTGACCATTCTTTTCTTTTCAAAGATTAAATTTTTAACAAAGAAAATGCTAGCATTGTGAGTGAAAAATTCTTAGTATCTTTTATACAAGATGAAAGCCTGATTGATTAAGGATACATTACTAACTGTAAATGTCAATTAATAAGCGCTTGTATGATAACTAGAATTTAGATTCATACCTGGCAGATACATTTAGATATAATATTCTAACTTAGTTTTATTTCTGAAGAGGCTTCTATATTTTCCTCTGTGATACAGAAAATAGATTTTTTAGGCTATTTTATCTTTCACTTTAGAGCTTTTAATTGTTGGTTCAGTGGATTGTTTTATAATGGTTTAACATCTCAAACAGGTTTTCTGTGATTTGGTCAGTTAAATCTATATGTATTTGGTTAAAACACTCAACTTAAAAGTTGTAAACCAAGAGTAACTTAAAGGAGGCTTAACTTGTGTTTCTCTGGATTTGATTTGTATTTAAATCATAAAAATAACTTTTCCAAGAGCCATTTTTGTGTTCAAAAGCTTATTAAGGTTTTACAATTTATTTTTTCTAAGTACAGTTCTGTATCAGATTTAGCCTCTTTTTAAAAGAGACGGTTTTTCACTATCAAGTTTACCATTCCCATGATTTTTTTTACATTTACACATTTTTATTTATTCCATAAATATCCAATTATCTGCTTGTGAAGATTCTGTCTTTACAACCAAGCTTACTTGTATTGCAAAGATAGACAGTTGCCAATATCAGAGAGTATATATCACATTGAAAGAGACTCATCCAGCCATGAAAAGCTCACTTATATCAGTGTTAACTGCTCAAAGTCAAGTATGACAAGAACTTATGAAGTAAAGTTTGGCCTTTGGGTATGGGAGAGGAATGGAGGATGTCGGGATGCAGGTCAAGGAAGGCATCCTGTGGAAGTGATATTTGAACTAATATCTGAAGAATGGTGACAGGAAGAAAAACAATCCTTCAGAGAACAGCAGGTACAGAAGCTGAGGTTGAAAAGGTGGATGTGTCCAGGGAAGTGGGAGAAGTACAGTGTGTTTGGAAGAAGAAAAGACACTGAATGAGGGGAATGGCAGGAATGATGAAGTAGGCGAGGGCTAGAGTAGGCTTGTAAGAGCTCTGGAAAGCTGTAAAAAGTGTTGGGTCCAGAAGTACTGTGGTGAGATTTGAATGTTATGGACTATTTTTACCCGTAGTAGTAAATCGACCTGGTAGAAGGAAATAATGATTGGCCTTCTGTTTGGAAGAAGATCAGTTAGAAGGCTAGTTTATGAAAAATTGGAAAAGCACTGGTGGCCTGAAGCATAGAGACAGTAGAGATGTGACCTCAGATGGATCTGATAGAGGTTTAAGAGGTAAGAGAGGCTTGCTGGTGGGATGGTGTGGGGAAGGGATAGATGACTTCCTGATCTTGGATTTTATAGCTGGGTGGATTGTGGTGCCTTACTGAGATTGGAATGCTGGATTAAGCAATGTATATGAACTGGGCATGTTCTCTACCCTTTAAAGAGTTATGTATATGTTTTCCATGTTTTTAGCTATTTCTCCACTTGTAATGTGTTCGAGTTGGTTAAAAATTAAGTACCTGGCATGGATGAAGCATGAAAAATACTATGTAACTGATAAACCAATGTTATGTTCTTACCTACAAAAATAATTAAATGGCTTTCTCTTATTCTTTTACTGCTTTCCTTTTAATTTACTGATACTAAAATGCAAAGGACAGATTTCTTGTAGATCACCTGACCTTTTCAATGATTTTCAGATGAGATTTACACTTACATGTTAAGAGTGTTGAAGTTTGTGTTTGACGTAGTGATGCTTTATCGGTTTGACTTTTAAGCATAGGATTCATGAGAAGAGACTCTGGGTAGGAACCAAGCTAGGACTTTCACAATGGCTTAAGCCCATCAGAGCAGTTCAGATGCTAATTAAGAGCATCAGAATTCCTTTCACGGACTTATTTTTCATGTAATTTCTTAATTGAAACCCCGTAAAGAACATAAGTGGTCTTGTGATACCTTAATGTTATATCAATATTTTGCTTCACCTGTAATCTGTGAAAATAAAGTTTATTTAGTAAACAGAAGTTGCTGTTTATCTATTGCATGGTAGGATCTTCGCTAGATCTGTCAGTGCCCAAGAAAAAGATTTATTTTACCCCTTTCGCAAAGAGTGAACCATTTCCACAGAGTATTCATCTAGCCAGCATTTAAATACTTCTGGTGATGACAGACCTGCTACCTACCCCTAGGCTGTCCTTGGGTTTCTACTATATTAATTCACTTTTTTAATGGCAAACAGTATTTTTGAAACAAAATAGACAGGGATGTGTTTTCTGCTGAGTTGGTACACACTAGAAGCTGGAGTGCAGGCATGCTGTTCTGTGCTTTATGCAACTCAGGGAGACAGTGTGCAATGTGACCCCGAGAGAGTTCCATCAGGGCATGCTTCGACTACTCAGTGAGTGACCATCTCCTACATTAAGATTTCTGCTCCTAAGAAAAAATATCAGTCTCACTTGGATGCACAGCCATCCTCTTCTGTGTGCGTTGGGCCACCATATTCTAAGACAATCTTATATGAGAGTCTTATAAGGACTCTAAGTTCGGGTAATGCTTGTCTCTGATGTCATCCACATGACTCACCAAAATCTCACTGGGCTCAAAAGATGACTCTCTCTTATGGTATCAGTCCTGACAGATGTAACCTGAACATCTCTTTGGGCCCCAGGTAACATGATTTTTCGTCTCTTGCTTGGGAGCATAGACATTTCTGCATCACCGCAACATAAATTTGGTTAGGACAGACACCATGCTTTATTCCATTTATGTATAGGATAAGATAAACTGAATAGAAAGGAATAAAACATTAAAAAGCCCTCCCCACTTCTTACTTTTTAAAATTAAAATAGTTGCTGGGTGCGGTGGCTCACACCTGTAATCCCAGCACTTTGGGAGGCCGAAGCAGGTGGATCACCTGAGGTAAGGAGTTTCTGACCAGCCTGGCCAACTTGGTGAAACCCCGTCTCTACTAAAAATATGAAAAACTAGCTGGGCATGGTGGCACATGCCTGTAATCCCAGCTACTCAGGAGGATGAAGCAGGAGAATTGCTTGAACCCAGGAGGCGGAGGTTGTAGTGATTCGAGATTGCGCCATTGTACTCCAGTCTGGGCTACAAGAGCAAAGCTCCATCTCAAAAATAAATAAATAAATAAATAAATAAATAAATAAATAATAAAATTGATATAGTTTGGTGAAGAGATGCTGAGAAGAATACTTCTAAGACTAAGCTTATGTACGTGTTTGGAAAATGCCAATAGAAAGGAGTCCCAAAGAAATCAAAGGCCCCTAAAATACCCTCTCAAGAATGCTGGTGATTCGGCAAAGGTAAGCACTGGGCTAATCAGTGAAAATCAAAATTTGATAAGGGTGGACACCCATTATCGGGAAACGGGAAGAGGGGCAAGACCTCCAGCGCTCAGAAAAATCCACGGAGGAACACCAATTCCCAGACTTGGGGAATGACTTTCCCTCCTAGTCAGGACCAGAAATAGCAACCATAACCTCTTTTCAGCCACCTCTGGCAGCACAGGGCTGGACCTCGGAGTCATAACAGACATGGTGCTTAAAGAGCAAGATGGGGTCCAGCTATTTTCTATTGGAATCTATGGCCCATTACCCAGAGGAACATTTGGATTGATTATCAGAAGGTCTTATAGTACACGTAAAGGAATTCAAATTTTCCCTGGAGTCATAGATTCAGACTATTTAGGAGAAATTAAATTATGGCACAGGTGTCAGGGGTCCACACCGTCTCTAAAGGAACTTGCCTTGCTCAGATTATTCTTATTCCTTACCTTCAAGGTAATGCTCAACAGAAGACCTGTGGGGCCTCGGGATTCGGCCACTCAGGGATGAAAGTTTTTTGGAGTACTCCAGTGTCATGTCATAGACTACACTTGGAAGTAACAATTAATGGAGTTATGTTTATGAGAATTATTGATATAGTGGCTGATCAAACTATAACAGCTAAAAAACAGTGGCCTTCAGATTGGGCCTCTCCTGCCTGATATTCTATCATGGGTGTTGGAGGGTATCAACAGCCATTAAAAAGTAGCCATATTCTGAAGAAGAGGCGAGAACGACCCCCAGACCGACCAAAGCCCGCGCGCGGCTGCATCTGGCGTCCAGCACCTACGTCCTGCCGCCGTCGCCACCATGCCCAAGAGAAAGGCTGAAGGGGATGCTAAAGGAGATAAAGCCAAGGTGAAGGACGAACCACAGAGAAGATCCGCCAGGTTGTCTGCTAAACCTGCTCCTCCAAAGCCAGAGCCCAAGCCCAAAAAGGCCCCTGCAAAGAAGGGAGAGATGGTACCCAAAGGGAGAAAGGGAAAAGCTGATGCTGGCAAGGAGGGGAATAACCCTGCAGAAAACGGAGATGCCAAAACAGAGCAGGCACAGAAAGCTGAAGGTGCTGGAGATGCCAAGTGAAGTGTGTGCATTTTTGATAACTGTGTACTTCTGGTGACTGTACAGTTTGAAATACTATTTTTAATCAAGTTTTATAAAAAAGCAGAATTTTGTTGTTGTTGTTGTTTTAAAAAAAGTAGGCATATTCATCCACTTTTGGGCCCGGAAGGCAAGGTCACCCATGTTAAGCCCTTTATCTGAGGAGATCCCATTTTCTCTGTGGGGATGAGATGCCCTAGAACACTGGGGCTTAAACCTCTCTGTCCTGCCGCCTTTTTGGTAGGGCCACTGCTCCTTTGAAAATTATCAAACACCAAGTGGAAAACTACTAGCCCAGTATGAGCGGATAAGTGGCTCATTAAGAAGGAAAAATTGCAACACATCCAATGTCTCGTACAAGAACTAGACGCTGGCCACATTGAGCCTAGGACTAGTCCCTGGAACACTCCTATTTTAACATTCTTAAAAGGTCAGGAAAGTGGAGGTTATTGTAGGACCTCTGTGCTATTAATGCTGTAATGTTTCCTATGGGGCCTTTGCAACCAGGATTACCTTCTCCGGTTATGATCCCCAAAGACTGGCCTCTTATTGTAGTTGACCTAAAGGATTTTTTTTTAAACCATACCCTTGCATCCTGAGGATCGAGAAAATTTTGCTTTTATTGTCTCCACTTATAATACTCTGCAACCAGTTTAATGTTATCAATGGACAGTTCTACCCCAGGGGATCATGAATAGCCCTACTATATGTCAGCTTTATATACATGAAGACTTACTTCCTGTGCATCAATCCTTCCCCTAGGCAAAAATTTTCCACTATATGGATGATATTTTGATAGCTGCTCAGCATCAGTCATTACTGCATCAACTTCATGCAATGGTAGTACAGCATATGTTACAATATGGTCTCGTTATTGCACAAGAAAAAGTCCAGCTGATGGTTCTGTGGCTCTATATAGGAAGTCTTATTTTATCTACTACGCTCAGGCCACAACTTACGAAAATAATTCTTCCACAGCACTTAACCCTTAATACATGACAGCGAGTCCTACGAAAGATTAGTTGGATACGTCCCTATTTAGGTATTCCTGCAAATTACTTGACTAATCTTTTTGACACCCTGAAAGGTGACTCATTTTTAAATTCACTGCAAGACCTCTGTTGGCTAGCACAGGCAAAGCTTATGGCTGTGGAGCAAGTCTTGGCCCAATGGTGCATATTGGGTTTAGATCCTGACAGACAGACAGAAAAAAATCAAAATCTTTTGATTTTTTAATACCCCTCAAAGCCCTACAGGAATGCTTGGGCAAGTTGGAACAAAAGTTTCTCCTTTGGAGTGGCTTTATCTGTCTTGTAACCCCCTCAAAACACCTACAAAAGACCACAGATTTAATAGCTTCTCATAAAGGGATGCCAACATTGCATCCAATTGTCAGGATATGACCCTGCTACTCTTTTCTTACTTTTAAGCAAGGGACAGTTTCATACTCTCTTAGCCTGTGATCTTGATTGACAAGTTGCAATGACCAACTTTATTGGTAATATCAGTTTCTATTTACTAGCCTCTAAGCTCCTGAACTTTTTAAAAACTGTGCCTGTTAAATTTGCATCTATTGTTGTCTCTGAGCCCTTGCTTCAAGCCACTACTGCCTTTACAGATGGTTCAAGAAAAATGGGAAAGTCAGCTATAGTGTGGGAAGATGCCATGCAAAATTGGCAGCACAAAATCCAGGGACACTTCAAAACTACACAACCGGCTGAGTTAGGTGCCCTAATGTTGGTCTTACAAACTTTTCCTTACCAAGACATGAACATAATTAGTGATTCTGCTTATGCAGTGTATAGTATTACTCATTTAGATCTCGCACATTTAAAAGGCATTACTAAAGAACCCCTACTAACCCTGTTTCTCACAACACATGAGCTCCTTTGTCCCCATTGTCACCTTTTTATATCACACATATTCGCTCTCATTCTGGGCTACCTGGTCCCTTGTCAGAAGGGAACACTCAAGCTGATGCTCTGGTACAAACACAGATGAGGTTTGGAGACTCTCCTGCATTTTTGTAAGCTCAAGCTAATCATTCCTTCTTTCATCAGAATGCTCACAGTCTTTTTTTTTTTTTTTGAGACAGAGTTTCACTCTTGTTGCCCAGGCTGAACTGCAGTGGTACGATCTCAGCTCACTGCAACCTCCACCTCCCAGGTTCAAGCGATTCCCCTGTCTCAGCCTCTCAAGTAGCTGCGATTACAGGCTCATGCCATCATGCCCAGCTAATTTTTGTATTTTTAATAGAGACAGGGTTTCATTATATTGGTCAGGCTGGTCTTGAACTCCTGACTTCAGGTGATCCACCCACCTCAGCTTCCCAAAGTGTTGGGATTACAGGTGTGAGCCGCTGTGCCCCGCCTGCTCACAGTCTTAAACAACAGTTTCATTTAATGCTCGATCAAGCTTGCATGATTATTAAAACTTGTCCTGATTGCCAACAGCATTCTCTGTCCCTTTTATCACTGGGACTTGGTGCCAGCCCATGAGGTCTGGTACCTAATGCTACCTGGCAAAATGTTATTACTCAGCATCCACCTTTTGGACGCTTTAAATTTCTCCACGTTACTGTGGACACTTATACGGGCCTGATATACGTGACTCCATGGACTGGAGAAGAAACTAAAGATGAATTGCTTATCTTTTTGAATCTATTATGACCTTAGGCCCTCCACAGACTATTAAAACTGATAATGGTCCTTGCTATCTTAGCACTAGTTTTTTATATGCATTGCAACTTTGGCACGTACAACACAAAACTGTTATTTCTTATAACTCGACCTGTCAGGCCATTGTTGAACAAGCTCATCAAACCCTTAAAGTATCTTAATAAATGAAAAAGGGAATATGGGAGCTCTCTCCTTGAGAACAGATAGCAAAAATCTTACTCTCAATTTTTTGAATATTGGACAAGATGGCCAGAGGGTTATTGATCGTAGGATGAAACTGGTTGAAGTCACAAAACGAAAGATGTTAATTTGAGACATTTGTACAGGGAATTGGGAGGGACTTTATGAGGCATTGCAATGGAGTTGAGGTGCGGTTTGTGTTTCATGAACTACAGGACTAGAATGGATCCCCATAAAATGAGTGCAGCCATATTATGAGTTAGAGACCACTGAAGAAAGCCCCTCCTGATAATGAAGGACCTGTCGTTGGAGAATCGACCAAAACTGACAGTGATGATTTGGAAGGCACCTGACATTACCTGGGGACAGCACCTGACATTACCCAGATAGGGACCAACAGGGAACTATCTGGCTTGCATCCATGGGAGCCCCTGCAACTGCAGAGAACCAATTTCTTATGTATCTGGCGGTAATTGGAGAAGCTTCTGAGAAAGTAAGACAGACATGGATGTTGGGGTGGCTGGTAATTCTTGTTCTTTGCCAGGTAGGCTTAGCTCAAGAACATCTTTATTGGAGTCATGTTCTGAATCCCTCGGTTTTCAATGTTATTACGTGGTGGGATGCTGACCCGCCTTTGTCGTCTAATAATACTTCTTGGATGGGAGGTCGATGGATGCCCCTTACTCCCTCACTGAAAATTTGGGATGGATTAAACTTAATGACTCCTTGTCTTTATTGTCTAGCAATCCTCCCCTTTGTTTCTCTACATTGGCACATAACTGTATTACTCACATTCCTCAGGAGTATCTTTACTATCAGCTCAAAAGGGATGTTAAGCCCACAAACTTGACTTTTATTTCTGCCGTTACCAGTAATCTTAGTGAGGTTTCTAATGAAATTATACAAATGCCTGATCTTCCTATATGCCATCCGAGAAAAGACTGGCGACATAAGTTTGAGGCTGTCCAGTGGTCCCCATGCAGACAACCTGTGCCGCGTCAAGGACCTGTTTGATAGTGGCACCTTACTTGATTGGGGACCCCTTGGATATCCCATGTCTACAAATCAGACTATTGGATTTGGGAGTCCAGCCAATAGTTCCATCACCTGGTCAGAGTGTGGGCTTTCAGGACGAATATTACAATCGAAAGGGGAACAAGTTTTAGGCCCTGTGCATATCCAAATTTGGAAACTAGGTCTTCCCTTTTTTGAATGGGTTCTTTCATAATAAAAGTGATTACATTTATAGTGGTGACAACTACACCCTCTCCTTGCACAATAATGTTACTGATACAGTCCTGATTTGTGCTATGCACCCCTACATACTTTTGTTTGGGCAGGGTATTCCTAACATAGAACAGAATCAATCCTTTTATAGTATTACTGTTTCTTCCAGTAGTTGATATGCTACATGCTTGTCTCATCAAAACGTTACACAATTAAATATAAACTATGTCATGATTTTCTTTTTTTTTTTTCTTGAGACAGAGTCTCGCTCTGCCACATGGGCTGGGGTGCAGTGGCACGATCTCAGCTTACTGCAACCTCTGCCTCCTGGGTTCAAGCAATTCTCCTGTTTCAGCCTCCCAAGAAGCTGGGATTACAGGCATGCACCACCATGCCCAACTAGTTTTTGTATTTCTAGTAAAGACAGGGATTCACCATGTTGGTCATTCTGGTCTCAAACTCCTTACCTCGTGATCTGCCTGCCTTGGCCTCCCAAAGTGCTGGGATTACAAGCGTAAGCCACCATGCCCGGCCCTATGTCATTATTTTAAAATGGTGGTCAGGATTGTGGCTCCCTGTATATCCAGCCCAGAACTGGAAAGGGGATTCTATTTTGCAGTTATTTAGAAAAGCATTGTCTCATATTAAAAAAAAAAAAAAAATGTCTGGCCTCTCTAATTGCCTTTTTAGTTTCAGCTATTATTATACTAACAACTGCTGCTACTGCAGCTGTCTCTTTGATGGAATCTATTCATACAGCCTCAGTGGTGAACCACATGGTATACAATGTAACCCATGAATTTTAAGAACAAGTAAATACTGATAAAAATATTTAATCTCACCTAGTGGCCCTTGAAGCTGTCATTGAATGGCTAGGGGATCCACAGCAGGCATTCATTACCCGTCAAAATTTACATTGTGATTAGCAATATAATTCAATCGGTGTCACACTTATGCCATATAATAGCTCCCAATATACCTGGGAGAGTGAAGGCACACCTACATGGGGCTTACCACCACCACCTGTCTTCTTGAGTTTCTACTCTTTAGTGTAAGTTAAATAAACAGCCTAAGTGATGGTCTCAGCAATTACAAATACCCTACAGTTATTACAAGAAGACGTTCAGTTGTTGAACCCAAATACTTGGTTGTCTGGGCTAAACATACGCATTGGGGTGGTGGTCGCTATGTTTATTCTTTTTTGTATCTTTTAGGCATCTGCAAATGGCTTTGTATGGCCACTCAACCCAACTACGACCAGGGAAGAATGATAGAAGTTTACTTTACATTGGATAATCAGCACATTCTAAGAATTAAAGAAGGGGGAAATGTGTGGAGTGTACAACAATACATTCAAGCTTATCTACAAGGCATTTGAGGTCAAGGCATGGAAAAATACTGAGGCACTGTGTGTATGTTGTTTGCGCATGAGACTAATTCCTTGACCCTGAAAATAGGACAAGGAACAGAATGTGTGATAAGGAGTGCTAAACACAGCCTCCTAAGAATGTGGTTTGAGTGCTTTTAGATGTAATAAGGCCATATGTGCCTCATGACCCGACCCCAAATAGCCACATGGTGGATGTTTCTTGTTTGTCTAAACTGTAATTCAACTAGCCTTCTCAATAAGTACTTGGCAGATGAATCTTAAAGCAGCACTCTCTTGGAGGAGCTGCTCCCCTCCCTGTTCAGCTGTAATTGTCTGAATACTTATTTCTTGGCGTTCACTGCAGAGCAAGCTGCAGCATGGCTGCCGGAATTTATTCATGCAAGCTTCCAGCTTGCTTATCTATGTCTGCAGCTCAATTTTACAGGCTGCTCTTTGTTAAAAATATGTATATAATAATAATTTGTGGACTTCTTTTTATTGAAAAGAAAACTTTATCAAGGACTGTTTTGCTCTATCTGCCTAAATAATTTCTTTTCAACTCCTGTAACAATAATAGTTAATGTCATAGCAAACATTTGTAATGTATTTTTA